ATCAGGAGAAACGTTTCTTCTCTCGAGTATTTCTCATGGTATATTACACAATTGTCGTGTCGTGTCGTGTCGTATCGTATCGTATCGTATCGTATCGTATCGATGCATGATTAATCGTCGGTATAAATAACGGTTCGCTCTTGCATTACACGGAGATTAGCTATATCTGATATTTTCGCGTAATCGACGTACTCACGCATAATTCTCATCTCCCCACTATTAAACCTAAACCTAACCTAAACGCATAATTCTCATCTCCTTACTATTAAACCTAGCCTAAACGCATAATTCTCATCTCTTTACTACTCCAAACCTAGCCTAAACGCATAATTCTTATCTCCTTACTACTAAACGTGACCGAAACCTAACCTAAACCTAACCACATACCACTTTCAATAACGAATTCCTCGATAATAGCATTGTGTGTTCGCTCGCTCGTGTTCTGTATCTATTGTTTCACCAAACCATCTATTATTCCATCTAACAAATGTTTCTACAAACGGTGCGTATTTGTATGAAAAATCCAAATTCCCAAAGTTCCGAACGATCGAACTTTCGTATTTCCAACGTGAGTTTTCCGAGTTGTGTTCAAGTTGACAAACGTACGCTAAACTATTGAGGTATTAAAGTTTCCAGCTTTCTCGGGTCTTGTTCTTGAATTTCTAAACTTTTTACTCTTTAGCTGTTTAGCTTTTATATCTCGAGGCAGCTTTTCTTTCTCATTTCGGCGGATATTCTTTTTGCACTTTTAAACTTTTACATTCACGGCAGAGTAAAATCTTGAGTTTTCCTTAAAGTTCCCGAACGTTTAAACTTTCAGAATTCCACAAAGTCTTGTTTCCTATCGTTCATTCGACAGTACGTGTTGCACGTATCTTTTTTTTTTTTTTTTTTTTCTTTTTGCAACTTTAAACGTTAATGAAACGTTTTATTTTTGTAATAAATTTCTTTCCGATCGGTTCATGTACTGTAAAATCCCAAATTAGCGTCTTGATAGCGCAACATTCGGATGGGAAACAAATTCCAAGGGAATTTCTCTACTCGACCATCATTCCATCATTATTGCGAAATAATTCATGAAATTTGAAGAAATCGGAGTATCGATAATATTATATTGCGATAAATTCTACGGATTGAGATTGCAAATAACGTATCAACACACGAAATGAATATTAACGTAAATCGTCGGTCCGTGCGTCACGTAGTTCGAGAACGATAATCGAAAAGGCAATGAATCACTGTCCGGTAGACGAGTTTCCTGTGACGTAACGGAGATACATTTTCAGTTAGGTCGCATTGGCACGACGAGACATTATTACCATTACCAACATTTCGTATCTTTTCGAAACATTTTGAACCACAAATCCTTTGCGGTACGGTAGAAAAGTTTCTTTGAAATCTTGATTATAGTCTTGGAATTCGTAGACGACGAACAGTCGGTGTTTTCGATATTTTATTATTGCACGCATTCGCTTGTCGGAAGATGGAAGCAAAAGGATATTTATAAGATACATACCGAATGTATGTATGTATGTATCTACGTGGAAACTTTCAGAATTTTCAGTATTCGAGACTGATTTTCAGATTTCAAGACCTTGAAGAGAACTTGTCTCTCGTTAAGTACGTTACGTTAAGTAGGTTAAACTTGCAGATTTCTTAGATAAGCACAATAAGCACTCTTACCACGCGTTAGATCTCACCTTCTCTCTAGTTTCGAATTTCTTTTCGTACGTACGTATAAATTTGTGGAAAAAACACGTCGCGTGCACAATTTTAATACAATGCAGCACAATGTAATTCAGTGCAACGTACCGTACGTCTGCCCAATGGAAATTTGAAAACGAATGTTTCCGGCAGCGTATTCGCGCAAAGATACGTACGTTGTTACGAAGAGATACAGAGAGTCGGAAGAACAAACATACAGTTCAACAGAGAAAAAAAGATTTTTATGAAGAAAGAAAGAAAGAAAGAAAGAAAGAAAGAAAGAAAGAAGAAAAAAGAAATTGACACAAGGATTAGGAGGGTTAGGTTAGCCGCAAGTATAAGTAAGTCGAGAAACCGAATATTCGAAGCGAATTTTGAATGCTGCCTCTGTTCGACGAGTGGCATTCGCGTCGCGCGGTACATACATCGACGAGGTACAACACGTACGTACCGGGGGGTTTCGTTTCATTTTTCCTTAGTTACTCGATTGAAGTTAACAGACGGTGCGCAACAACGACCGCTAGGCAGAGTACGTATGTAATGTTGTGTAGTACGTAGCTGGCTGCGAATTCCCTCGGTGTATGTGCATGTATTCATATAGCAACGGCTAGTGAAAACACGTACGTGCTGCTCTCGCGTGTCGGCCATCGTTCAAACTTGCCGGCAATTCGTTCCACTTGCGCGAGCCCAGTTTTTCCGATGCGTGTGTCTCGCGAAAATCGGATACTCGGATCATCGTTCGTCGCGAGCGCACCAAGATACGCTACGCAAGCTTCTCGATTCTCGAAAAACTGTTGTACTTTTGTCGCACTCGACAGGAAGAGGGAATTTAGTTTCTCGATGTTTGCGATTGATTCGTGAAATGATATCGCGTGAAATCGAGCGATAAACAAGATTTAGTCATCAAATCAAACCTGAATTTTCACAGGTGAACGAATTTGTCCAATTCCAATGTTGCGTAAAGCCTCGAGAAATCTAGAATTTTTTGAGAAAGTCTCTGACTCTCGAGGTCGAGTGTTTGGAGGGGTAGCATTTTTCAAAAATACCTGAAAAAGGTCTCTCGTTCTCGCAACGTTGCGACGTGGAAAAACTTGTGTTTGATGAAAAATTTCAAACGTTGCTCCAAATTGCAAGAGGCTCGACCGTTTCGATCCTTCGAGGTGAAGTAATGGAGTAATTGAAAACGAGGGAGAGGGAGAGGGAGAGGGAGAGGGAGAGCCAAATGTAGAACGGACTTTACGAACGCTATTAATAGGTATTGAGGATGTTGTTAACAGGCGCACGAAAATGTACACGTGATGTACAGTGGGTTGTTTGAGGGAAATTCGTAACACAGCGGGGAACTCTTTCGAAGGAAAGAGTACCGACCCCGATAAACTTGCAAACCCGAGGTGGTTATAGTTGCGAATTGCGTGAATTACCGCTGTCGTCGTTCGCCATTAAACTAACAAAGCAGCAAAGTTTCCGCCTGCTAGTATCGCAATACTGACCAAGTGCTAAGGAAGAATTAATCTCTCTCTCTCTCTCTCTCTCTCTCTCTCTCTCTCTCTCTCTGTGTGGAATCTTGTCAGAAATAGGAATTTCTTTTTTTTATTGAAATATTAATTTGCACTGTGCTGTACTTGGAATATTTAGACGGCGTCTAAATATTCGTTACAAGTGTAAAGTTTGAGTCTTGGAGACGTAACTCTTCCCTCTACTGGAGTATATATTGATAGAAGGATGAAGGATGAAAGCAGACTAAATGCATATTTCATTAGAAAATCCGTCTCGTGCATGTGAAGAGACAAAGAACAGTGCGAATGTTTAATATTTTTCAGTATTTTTTTGGAATTTCTTGGGAAATCTATATGTATAGTCCATTATAGAGATTAGGTTTATTTTATTCATATTTATACGATAATTACGCGATTAATTACACCTACTTGATTTATATATATCGTCTGTAATTAATTGATTGTCGCAACGAACAAAAGTTCAGTTGTGAGGAAAGAATCTTCTTCACGCCGTTCAGCCTCACTTTCGCGAATATCCGGGCAATATTCTGCAGCCTGCTGCAATCTTCTTTTCCTCCAAGCATTCGCCGAGCCGACGCAATTGTTCAACCCTGTCGTCGTTCCGTGCTCCGAGGAAAACGTTGAGCTTTCGAAGGTGGTGGATGATGGTGGGTGATGGTGGTGGTGTTGTTGATGGTCGGTCGCCGCCGCCGCCGCCGCCGCCGCCGTCGCCGCAAACAGACGGATTTGGACAACGAGTCCACACGGGGCCGTCGTTCCACAGGAGGTCGAAGCCGCCGATTCTGGCCTCGCTGGCGGAGAAACGAGCCTCGAGGTCCAGCACGTTGAGCGCGTCGTCGACGAGGTCGAACTTGAGCCGATAATCGTGGCTGTCGGTGCCGGTCAACGCCGGCGAGGCGTTCACCTCGAGCAACCAAGGCGTCAGATCCTCGTCGAGAAGTGTATCGTAGCCGTACAGCTCGAACGAGTTCTTCCCCTGCATGATCACCGACTGCACCGCCAGCAAACTGGCCATTATCACGCCTGCGTGCGATCGATAAATGCCGGCTGTTATCGGCTCCGATGGCCGGCTAAATCGTGATTAATCGAGCTGCAGCAGGCAACTCTGTT